AGACAATTATTATAAGCGGGAAGTTAGGGGAGAGAGAGCATAGAATCCAAAAATAATTATTTTAAGGAGTCCCGATTTTATTGGTGCGTCTACCAAGCTGGCAGCGCTGAAATTCGTTTCTATGACGCATGTATAGAGGTATCCAACAAACATATGAAAGAGCAGGTGGCATCTGAAGTTTTTACCCGATGTATACACAAGCGAAATTACAGAAAAAAAGTGTCAAGAACCTTGCTGAAGAAAAGTGTTCAGAAGATTTCGGGATGCCAATATAGTACTTTTGTAACTTCTCTAAGTCTTGAGAGAGCGTTCCCAACAATGTAATCGATGATTTCGTGATAGAGGTTAACGATCTGGAGGAAAATAGGTTACTTAGAATATTGACGCTGTGAAACGAAACGTTTCTCCGCTAGGCAAATTATCAAAACTTGAAAAATTTATACTGCAAGAATCGTCGAATCGTTAATAATTCATGACGTATTCAGTTCACAAGCGTGGTACAAAACATTCTCATTTATTCCGCGAGCCTGTTTGTAGAAAAATCTAAGATAGCGAGAAAAAAAAAGTTGCGATTTGATAGAACAGCACGTTACAAAATTTTCCGACTTAGGTTCTGTTACAAAAGTCCGGCGCAAAATTTCGAACTTCAGCCACATTTTTTGCTTTACACTTAGCATGATATCTGAGAGAAGCTAACAGGAAAAAGTAGTATCTTTTAGTTGAAAACGTACGCGTTATGTAAGGCCTGAACGTTTTTTTAACGAATGAAAAAATAGTACTTAAATAATAAAAAATAAAATATACCTAGGTCTAAGAAACTTCCATAATCTTTCTTTTTGCACTGTGGCTTGTTTTCCTTTAGCCTTTCGAGGTGCTGGATGACTGAAACCTTATATCGTTGATTAGCTATCAAGAAAATATTCGACGTAATTATTTAACTTCATCATACAGTCGCAATATTAACTTCCTGAAACTTTGGCCAGTTTCCTTATTTTTCTGTGCTTTTGAGTTTTTCATTACCACCAGCCGTATGTGCGACATGATTTCGTATGTAATAGAAAAAACGGTTACAGATTACGTATTTGGATCGCCGTTGATGTGTCGGATCAAGACCGCCTGAAGTACCCCTGATTCTGGTAAGTTGATACACTATCAATGTACCACCATGAGCAGAAATTGCATCATAGTGCTACTTCGATGAGAAATCGCAGCCATTTGCGTTTAGCTACAACGAATCCGCTAGATTTGAGAACACTCTAATGTTGCCACCGGCTGCTTAGTTGTCTAAAGCTCTTTGCTAGCCATTCCTAAAAATGAACCATTAGTCCCTCCCTATCTGCTTGTTCCTTCGAGCTGATTGGCTGTACACGTATGCACTAGAAGAGGCTGTAATGTATAATTTCATAAATGTTAACGCTATCTCTCTTTAAGCTCATGTTATGCAAGGCCCTTAAGCATTCGTAGCACTAAGACGGATTATCGTGCTTCTGAAAAGTACGAACGATGTTTCACAGGTTTCTCTCTTGAATCTATTGAATTCTGTTTAGGACATTGTTGACAGCCAGTGACTTTTCACCAGGTCATAGGGGTACGCGTTGGAGATTCGGCCTCGCCAAAAGTATTACTTGGGTTAGATAAGACGTGCATTTAGTGTATATGATTTCAGAAGACGACATGCGGAGACTTTTATCCTGGACATCGTTCCGGGATCTGACAAATTATGGCACGCCGGTAGCGTATCTGCCTTTACTCACTTTTCGGTTTTCATCTTCGTTTCAGCATCGAACTACGTCTCACATGCACGCGCTTCCACGTTGCCATATTTCACTTCACGAGTGGTTCGTTTAGGCAGGTAGGCGGCTGCTACGGCAATTACCAGCCAAAATATCGCAAACAGCTGGGTACTTATGTTTTGAAATCATCGTAGAGTTTTTTTACGACGATTACAATAGCACTAGAACGTTGTCTTCACTGTTATCCGCTCTGACAAACCTGTGGTAACGTATGGCTTCTGTATACGATTTACATAAGCACTAGATTATTAGGGTCGTGGTATTTGCTCTGGATAGGTAGTGTGCATACAAGATGGCTTCAAATGATTCGCCTTTAGTCTCGTGTATATAATGTCTAAAACTGCTGCGATTACCCGGCACTCCCTGCGTTAACAAAACCGTAAGACATTGCCGTAATGAACTATATGAATTTATTTATATTTGAAATTTCTGCGTTACTTTGTGTCAACTTCAGTCCCTCCGCATTGGCATTAAATGTGTACGTAATTACATCCATATAAGAAACCAAACACTAATGAAAATAGTCGTTGAAATCACTATTTGTCGTATTATGGACATCAAAGGTTTTTGCCACATAACGTTTTTTCGAATGGTATAATGGGTCGCTTCATTGTAAAAACAAGTTTAAATCTTCGAAAGTTTGATTTAGGGTTAGATTACGGTTCGTTTTGCACTGGACAGAGAATTCGTACTCAGAATACTCTCTCACCCGTAACCTTGTGCGTAACATTGGGAAAATAGGATAATAGCCTTAATTGAGTCATTCTTCTTCCAGAGCCTAAAGAAACATGTGTTTAAACAGCCCATCTTACCGGCTGACAGTTGGTGCTGTGAATAGACCTCGGCCCTCCTAATAAACATCATTGAAAACGCTATGAGAGCAGCAATGGCCGTACCGCTAGAAACAACTACGACTTAACGTACTTGCTTCATAGTCTTCGACTACGGCACGCTTCTGTCTCTTAATATAAGGCACGCCTTGTTCGTATATAGGAATACTTGAGATTACAGACAGATGAACTCCGAAAATTTGGGCCCACTTACTTGTAACTGCCCATCAAACTGACTGGGCGTAAGATATTAGACTGCTATAGGCAAATGAAGCGTGCTTCAAAATTCAATAACTTTTGAGTGACGCAGCGCTAGCTCGTGGAATTTGGCTGGTAAAACACTCCGGTCTTCTAGAAACTTGTGAACGAAAACTAGTCGAGTTTACTCTACGAGAAATACGTTCGGAAGGAAAAATATTTTTTAGACATGAAACGCTTGATGAGCAGGTTTTTGCCCCTCGAAGGCCGCAGGGCTCCGGAAATCCATAGAATTGGGGATAAACATTAAACAAATTGGCTTAACAACGAAAGCATAGCACGTGAATGATGCATACGGTTCAAGAATGGAAATTTCAGTGCTGATAGCTAGCGAGATAGTAACCAGATGTCTGAGCCCAACAGATAAAAATGTACTATCGCAATTGAGGAAACTTTTCACGGAAGCGAAACTTGGAGCCTAAGGACTCTGTCGGCTAGAACTGGCATTTCAAATATGCTATACATATACTACCTATATACTAAAAATGCCGAGACCATAGATACTTTGTGAAATGACGCTAGATGAGTTGGAAATCTGTGTGGTACAGACCTTTGACCCACAAAAAACCCGCCTGAAGCACAGTAGGGGTAGATAGATGGACAGGTGGGTAGATAGATAGGGCCAATGGGGTGCAGGTGACAATCAAATGGTGCTTATTTAATAGTTGCCATATACTTGGGTAGAGCACGATCAATGATATTTACCCCTCGTACTTCAACTGAAACACAGTCAAAACGAGTATTTTTCATTTGAAACCAAGCTGGACGACGGCTCGAAATAGGAAAATACAGTTTCGATTGGATCATTCGTGACCTTGCATACGTTAGTTTAAATATATAGGACGACGGGGTTTGAAATTAACCCTCTGCCACTAGCTTGATTTCAGAAAAAAAAAACACGTAAAACCACAGGTAAACGATGTGGATTCTGAATCATGCATTCCAGACTGTCTGTACACGGAACCTCCGTACACTGTGTCCACATGAGATTGTATGTGGGATACAGGTAACTGCTTTTATCAGCTATTTATCTCCTTCTAAGCGGTCGTGCGACTGAGTTTTGCTTGAATTCGCCGCATTTCACTGACTATTGACACGGAATTTCATGGAAAACAGTAGCGACTGCAGCAGAGATCAAGCAAATCATTACAAGGCGTGGTCAGAGCTTACCAGAATGAAGTAAGCTAGGTTAAAACATAATTAGATTATGTAACAATGTGCGATCTAGAGACTACGCTAAAAGGCATATAGCTATAAACAAAATTATAAATAGTACTCTTTTCGCTTAAAACTTCCCTTGCGATTGCTTATGTATTAGACTCGAAAATGGTCTTGGGCTTCTGATCAGAGCGAATCGTTTTGTAGTCTTTCTCTTTTTACTTTGAGGGCCGTGTTACAGCACAAACAGGGCAACAAACGTAAACATTTTATTTAGAGAAACAAAGTCCGTAAAAACTGAAGAACTTACCTCTGGACTTCGTACTCATTGAGAACGCATGCGGATCGAATGCAAAATACTGGCCTTGTTTTTAGATGGCTCGAAAGACCCTGCGAAAATTTATACTACTTCTACACATAGTTCACTCGGGCAATAGCAAAATTTATGCAGACAGAAAAATAAGAAACACTTATATAGAGAATAGCTTGTTAAATATGGTTCGATACTTTTCTTCATGTGTTTGTTAAGAGGCTGAATGTTAATATATACACCATCTCAAATGTTTGGTGAACGTCTGATTTTTAAACGCTAGCTAACTCTCCAAAATTCATATCGTCTATATTTTCTGTGACGGAATTAATTCAGCTACTTCGTGAGACTGGCGCTTTGTTTTGCTGCATCGATCCCGCATTGTATTTCCAGTAGGAATTAAAAAAGCTGGCAAAATACTTTCATGCAAAAGCTATTGACTTCGCAAAGTTTACAGGTTCCTTCAAGCCCCCTCAATGTCAAAAAGAGACAAACAATCTGATCGTTATATATTTACCAACATCTTCATAGAGCCCGTATAACATAGTGGTCACGGTTCTTATGGGATGTGTGCATTGTCAACATATGTTACTCTGAAACTGTTTAATTCTCTATTTTCCATCGCGGTCCATGCGTGGTTTTTATTTGGTATGACGCCTCGATAGCATTTCACATGAGGTCCATAGTGTTACATAGCGATAATAAAACTTTCCAGGGGATCGTTACTATTTTCTCGTTTGCTAGCTGTGTCTACATTGTTTCTAACTTTCTCGTTCTTCGTTCGGCCTTCATGTCCTCCTTCCTCCTCCTTGAGCGGTGGATGAACCCTAGCGATCCATTAATCAGTATTTGTGTTAAAGGCGACCCATGGCGGTGACTAGCGCACAGTCACCGTTAGCCACCTCGGTTAGACTATTTGAGCCACTTACTCTGACGCATCTCAATTTGGAAACCCTTTGAAGTCGCCAATGATTGATTAAGACCAAAAGGCGGACGCGCCCAGTCACGTCATATGTGGAAATCCTCATATTCTTATGCGCTTCGCCGTGCACTTCGCTTCTGTTTCACTTCTGCGCGAAAAGCGGTTTCTGGCTCATTTATTCGTAGGGTGTCTTTTCTGTGGAAAGAACAAAAATTTGTCCGTACATTATCTTATCGAGATTTCGAGATAGGCAGCAGAAAAAAAAGTCAACCATACTTTTGATGTAAAACACGGATACAAATGAAACTGATTTAACATCGAAATGAAGGTAAATAGAAATAACTGAATCTCGATAATGCTAAAGCGTAATTTTATTATGTAAAAAAGGTACGAGTTTGGAGGCAAAGATGTCACCTACTAGAGCAAGCTATAGATTGGCCTTCATCCCTCGAGCAAACAAAGCCGGCACGCGGCCACTGCAATGGTGGCTGGTCGGGAAGCGAAGCTTTCTGTATACCTACACCAGAAGCGATGCTCATACTAGCAGCAGCAACTTGGTCGAATAAGATAAAAGAAAACATTAGGTCATTTGCCAGATAACATAGTTACCCTTCATATGATCGTTTCTTCGTCCTGTTCTTGTGTGTGCTGCTGCTGAAGAAATACTTTTGTTGGGCAAGTGATAAACAGCAGGATAAACGCTTTGATAAACTACACATTAGTATCCGTATGTTTTTTTTTGTTGGCTGCGTAGGCTGGCTGGCAGCGGCACAAAAGTGTAACCAAAACGAAGAGATCATATAGACAGACGTATTCTACATGTGACGAAGAGTTGCAAGATCTTACCGTAAAATGAAAAACTTGCTTTGGTAGAACAGCAATAGTAATATAATAATTATTTTTTTCAAAAAAATAACTTGAATTTGATTTTAAAATCTCGTTTGTTTTAGCTTTCACAGTAGCCTATTGTACCGCGGTGACTGACTGGAAGTTATCTCAGTTAGTTAAAAAAGCTCGTTTGTGCTTCGTGTACCGCCAATCGATAGCACGCCCACGTGCAGCATTACAAAAACTTCTATAATTTCTACAGCTGATTCAGATTACCTACGGCCTCTGAAAATGCATATATTTTATTTTGTCTGCATGTAATTGATATTTAAATAACTTTTTCTTTATTGTAAATGCTCATTATCGTCCGAGTTATCGGTCAATCCATTGCGGATAACGGTGGCTCGTTTGTTTACACACCCAACTGCAGCGTTCAGATGTCCTAGTTTCGTATGTTTTCTTGGCGGCATCCCCGCGAGAAACGATCCATTAGCGTTAGATCTGAAAAACAGGTAGGGTATGTTTAAGAGAGACCACCTGTTTACATAACTCTCATCAAGGTATTCTCTTGCGCCGCCATAATAGCGTGCAGTTACCCCGCCCTGTTCAGACTAAAATTTTCCATCTTTATCAAGATTTTCCCGGATGAGTGGTAAGACCAATTGGTACGGTTAATTTAAGTTATTGATACCAGTCACTGTACAAAGAAAACGTTGTCTAGGAATGAAGTTACAGTGTACACATTTATCGTGACCACTTTTATATTCATGTTTGTCATTTCTATTTTGCACCGAGCTTAATGGCCTCCTATTTAATATATACATACTTTGTATTCGATTCTGACATTTGGTTAATATAAACTTTATCTTGCGTGATTTTGCATTTAGGAAGATTTTTGTAGTCTCTTCTAATATGGCCATGAACGACTTGCATACACCCATTGCATAAGAATTTATGAAAAATAACTTATTTATTAACAACGTGATGACTGTTATTTCAAGTTTACGTTTTAATAAGTTGCGTCGGATGTATTCTGGACGAAGCCAGTCTTGAATACGGGATTCAAGTACGGGTTCGTATGTAGCTAATCTAGAATATTGGAAAGACAGAAAGTAGCATGCTTTACTTTATGTTACATTTGTTTCTTAATGGCGCGATTAGTTAACAATGTGAGATTTCATTTGTGGTATATTTCGGGGATCTTTCGACTCTATGGGATTTTATAACAAATATTTATTTGGAAGAGGTCTCTCACGGCGTTTACTCTTGAAAAAAAAAATGGCATCTAAGTGATATAGGAAATACTCCTCGTCGTCAGTTAAACTTGTTTTAAATGAAAGTAATCCTAGGAGAATTGATTTCTGACCAGAAACGTGAGCCTTAAAGTAACTCAACTATTCAACCATCGATTTTCTTCCGGATGGATCCCTTGAACAACCGTATAAGGTCATAAGTTTTTAGTATAATTAACTTGATCCAGATGCACACCTGTTGATCAGTTCACCGCTGATTCGAATCCATACTTATGGTGTAGATCGTAACGGACGAGTTGAACGCGTTATTGTCACTTCTAAACAGCGTACTCGTAGAGAAAAAGCTCTAGTTTTGGTTTTTTCTAATATAGCCTACACTATTTATGTTTACCTATTCATTAGTTAACTTCTTAGTTCATTCATTAGTTAGTCTTCTTCATGACTGACTGTAAGCTGAATAATAGAACCACGTATTTTCAAAAAAATACTTGATGACTGGTCGGCGTTTGACCAACGCGAGCATCACTACGGTCTTTATTATTTTCACACACACATTTGTTTTCACATTGATCTTATCCGTGTAACAGCTGTTTATCACAGCCCTCATTTGCCTTCAGCGGTATTACCTCATGCAAAAACCATACCAGCAACTCCGTTGAACTTTTTTGACATTTCTACGTTAGTCTATTATAATATGACTGTCAGCTTAAAAAACAATATACCTAGTTTTTAAAAAAAAATCGAGAAAGAAGTACAATGGAAAAGGTTCCAATGGGATAACAACCTGCGTCACACATCATCTTAACAGTCGATGTTATCGCTGCGTAAAACCGGGATAAGAGTGTTCAAGTCGCCAAGTGGCGTTCCGATCTAGAACAAAAAGGGGTCCCGCGAATTAAATGTCAAAAAAACATTTATGATACCGTTAACAAAAATGTTTTTAAATTGGCTTTAAGGTGTTCATGCAGAAAGTCACTTGGGCCAGTATTCCGCTCTGATTTTAGGTTCGCAGGATACGACCAGCTTCTGCCTAGTCTTTGATACAGCCACGCGTCTCCTAACAACTAACATTAAAAAGGAGACTGTGAACGATTATCAGACGCACATATGCACGCGTTCTGAACGCAGATGGAAAAAATAGGTTTCACATAGACACGTACCAATACGATCGAAAGATATGGCTAAGTTCGACTGCTAAAAGCCAAACTAGAAATCCTATATAAAGCGACTGATATGGGTAGACGGTACCTTATGTCTTAAGCAGATCTTATGCGCTTAGTCTACTCTAGTTTTATAAAGAATCAATTCTATGCGAGAGATTTATAATATTGCTCGTTTACAATAGAAGATTTATAGATTTGTATTTATCTGTACAGAACGTACGCTATACAAAACATGTCTATTACTTGGTCAATGTAGTGACCCGTTTCCGAAAGTAAAAAGCGTAATAGAAGTTCGATTATATCTATATTTTTTGGTGGGCCGGAAGTGGCCTGCCTTCTTTTGGGTGAGCTCTAAAAGCTCGGGCTTTCGTTATTCATACTTGCTTTTAGAAAAGCCTTCGAAAATAAATGCAAGTTCAATATGCCTACTATGGGATACGTCTAAGCATGTAAATATCTCGCTTTTCTAAGTAGGTCTTTTTGAGCTAGAACAAATAGATATTTGATTTGGTCCATGTGTCAGAGATATTACGTGGCGAATTGCAAGTAGTTTGTAATCAGGGAGCTCCTTGCTGCTAGCCATCTTTCACTGAGACCACATCATTGTTCCGGACGGCCATGGACAGTTTCTATTATTCGCGACGGTACGACGGTAAGTCTCCGAAGTGCCTATCGTTTATGCGTCGCGTGCGTTTGTGCTCCAACGTTCTAGCATCCTGTGTATTCACTAATGCAACTGGCCTTGTATACGGCTCTCCGTTCAATGAGATAGATAGCGCATTCTTCTCGGTACTTCTTTTCAGAGTGGACCTTCGAATAGCGCCGGTCAGGAACGATTGACACAAGTAGCCTTGCAGTAACTAGCCCAGATTTCTAGCTAAAATCACTCATCAAGAGGAAGCATCGAAGGTCATGCTGTGCCAACAGCTTACTGGAACTCTAAAGAAGACAATCTTCACTGACTATTCCCTTCACTTCAAAACTTTTCAATGCCTTGTATGTTGTTTTATAAATAGAGTTATTGTATTTAACTATCGACGATAACGAAAATTGTCCGTAACTAGGCCTCTTTGTCGATTTGTTTAACTATTGCGAAAAAAAAACTTCAGTCAGTTAATTAAAAGGAGCTTGGCTAGGCAGAAACAAGTCCTAGTTTCGCTTTTCATGGCGTGACACCTGACAGGTTTAAATTAGAGCAGGGCCTTTTCTATTTTAACTGAAGAACACAGAGGGCAAGCAAGATTGTAATATTACTATAATCGGGTAATATGGTGTTGAACTAAATAGCAGAATAGAGCTAATAATATATATAATTGACATTTTTAAAGTCCCGTATTCCGTTTTCTTTGAAAAGAAAAGTAAACAGAAGTTACCTTTTTTTTTTTTTCTAACACAAAAAGTATTTCATATACATAATAAGAATTCGGTTTGATAAAACACTTATTATCAGCAAAAAAATTCTCTTGTTTTATTTGGAAAATCAATGGTACAGTAGCGTCTGTCCTTTTATACGCTAGATCTTTTAAAGGAGAATTGGACTTCAAATACATTTTCGTTTTATGGTGAAAATATTTAATTTCTTAAATAACTGAAAACGTTATTTTGTAAGGTTTTTCGATGGAGTGCTTTTCGAAACAAGTGACAAACGTTTACTGGGACCAACACTCCTTAAAAGTATTTTTTGGCTAACATGAATTATTTAGTTACCCCCACTTTTATTTCAATTCCTTTTGCTAATGCTTGATTTAGTACAACTATACTACCATGCTTTCACGTGGAAGCCGTGGAGCGTTATTGTGACGTTATTTGCATTTTCGTATAGCTTTCTGTTTAGCTGCCGAGGTTTTGTACCCCACCCGGAGCTTGAATAAATCAGCATGGGTAACTGCATTACCGTATCACAGGGAAGGATGCTAAACACTATCAATTTCTCACACCTTTACCATTTCTCACGCCTTCTGTGATGCTTTGTGAAAAGCGCAGGATACGTCGATTACTTTGGCGATCAATAATTTTTGAAAGTCAGACCCGTCGGGAACCTGACAAACAGAGTGCAGTAAAGAGTGATTTCTTGAAAGACAAAAACTTCATTATAGTAGACAAATGACGACAATGTTTTTAAGAAAACACAAGTTCTCTGCATGTCTTAAGACCCAGAGTAATTTTTAGAACGACAAAATTAGCAAGTGCTTCCTACAGGACCTAATCGATGATAATATGTGACGTTCTCTATCGACAAGACATATGGATATTCTAAAAAAAAAAAGTATATTTTTTTGTCTGACTTCAAAAAATCGTGACGCACACCCACTGAGGCAATAGCATTCAACATCTGCTGACTAAGATTGTATTAAACGAATTTCTCACAACTATGGCGTCAACACCTTTCTGCATCGGAGTCGAGACATGTAATGGGAACCGACCTGAAACGCGATTGGGGCGATACAGAGAGGTTCAACTAACTAAGGCTCCGGTGGGCCTTAGTTATCGAAAGTGGCTCAGCCGTTATCCTCGAATAGTAAGACCTCCACTATTATCTTCTATTACCCGCTATTATCTAAGGAATATCTTGGCGTAATCATTACGCACGTTATCGATGATGATGATGATGATCCATATTGCATACGAGAGCATCCCCTTATATTATCGGTCTTGTGCCGCGCAGATAATACGCTAACGTCGACTTAGCGTTCATGGAGTTCGTCTATATGGGACATGTGGATTACACCAGATGGCTGCACATACAAAATTTTGTACAAGAAAATAGACACACAACATAACATGGATATATTACGCTGCCAGGCACAGGGAAACGTACACATAAATCTGAATGGATTAATAGGCTATCTGTTTGTGTTACTGTGTCGTAGTTTTCCCAACTGCGGGCTTTCTTGCGTGAGCAAGCGGATCAGTGAGCCGTATAGATCCTTATCTAGCTAGCTGATCAGATAACTTCGCAGAAGCTCTGCTGCTGATCTGATTTTGAAGTACGCACATGCTCAGACACCTGCTATGCATTAGCATTCCGTATTATATGTAAGTAGAAACTCTCTCAGGTAACAGCATCCGCATATACGAGTGCTGTATTTTCACACTTCTTTTGCGGCTCGTGGCAGACCTTTGACATATACGTTAAATAATATAAGTTAGTAGGTGCTAATCGGAGGTATTTCAACGTGTATCAACTAGAGTTATGTAATGTTATGCCAAACAAGTAATCGAAGGTCAAAGTGTGCTCATTTCATGGACTTACTTACCGTCAACGGACATCTTACATGCGAAGATCCTCTCAAGCACAAGGACAATCGAAGGAACGCCTAAAATGTATAGCTAACCTCTAGCTATCAAAAAGTGTTGGCGCTAATCCTGAATACAATTCGTGCAAGACCCCACATTCGTCCGCTGATACAGCGTTACGAGGGCGTGACTATACTTGGCATTTTCTTATTTCACGTTTGAAAGACGCGACGAAAGTGATCTGACTGGACGCTCGCCAGTTCATCTTGGTCCGCTAAATTACCCCTCAATTTTGCTTATTTTTATTATCAAATAACAAGTGCTTGATACGAATGGCTGGGACCGGATATGTGGGAAAATTGAAAGCTAATCATTGATAACGACGTGGAATGTCTTCCAAAATGGTTTCCCAGCAAATAAACAGGTCAGCCTAAATGTAACTGCTAGAAAATAACATACCTAAATGAACCTATTACAGAGTCAACTGTATTTACTGTATGCTCAAGCAAGTACACACTATAACATTATGCTTCACTCAAGACTGCGCGTTATCATAATAAACAACAATTGATAGCGATTTCAGTAATAGTTGACTCTCAACTATTTCTAACGTTTGGTGCAAAGCGTTTAACTAGAGCGGCAACTTTTGTAGGTACATCTTTCCGTTGTAAAACAAGCTGAAACTGAGCGTATCCCTAAAGTTTCGCCTATAATATCAAACCACAATATTTTAAATATATTCCTATTTACTGATATCCTTGGTAAGGTTCTATACTTTGTAGGACGTGCATATCTTTTAAGGTCACCTGGAACTTTCGAACAACAGAAATTTCATTAAATATCTGTATGCGGTTTTTGTGAAAGCTAGCTGCTCCCTCTACTGTCTGATGGTTGGATATGTGAAAACACTATCGCTAGAGAAGCATCTTAAACTGCTGTAGACGAGCGAGCACCCATTGTCTTAAAATAAATTTCAACGATTTCCGTGCTTTTGTGACTGAATGTGAACTCGCGTTGGGATTACGAAAACACCTTAAGGCAAAGTTAGCTTAAACCCTAATAGCTGAATTACAAAAAAAAAAAGAAAAATTATCGCAAAGAGAGATTGCAAAGTAAATGTAAATATCATTTGATGATGTGACTGTGAAGACAAATGCTAAGGTGGCTCTGGCATCAAGACAAAATAAAAACCGATAACGGTACATAGCGAACGCATTAAGCAGACGGGATCATTCTGAACGCGCTAGAGACGGAAAAGATTTCTCGTAAAGGTCTCTCAACTATGTCAGAGCATGGTAAAATTCGGAACCACTACGTCCTAAAATGATCTACATTTTTATCTCGGTTTTAGCTAAAAATGCGCGGCTAAACTGTAGACGGAAACATGTGCATTTTTAGTTTACTAGACAATTCCGTTTGTCAGACAGTTAAGAACTGAAAAGATGTCTGCTTTTTAAACGAATCGCATATGGATCTACAGGCGTCCCGTCCTGTACAGTTGAACAGGTTGAAGCCCCGAGTAAAATAATGGTATAGATGACCATCAACGGTGCACGAACCCTATATTTCATTGACAGACTTACGAAAGACGGAACATTCAGACGAAAAAATTCCGCCTTAGGCGTCTAGAATGGTTCCCGGATGCTTGCTAGGTGGTCACACACGATAAGTCACTATGTTTCACAGCAAAGTATCTCTGTCGTTAACGGTATTGAGGTTTTCATATTGCCAGAAAGTTCGCTCGACTTGCTATCGAACAAAAACATTTGACATTATGCCAAACAATAAGATAGGGCCGGATAGTCCGTACAGAAATACTATACTCCAAGTGTGGATTTAGAACCTATGCGTAATGGAGGTTGTGGCACAATGCTAAACTTACTAACTTAGTTGTAGCAGTAATCGTAATGAGAAGATTAAACACTAACCTATAGAAGGTACCGCTAAGTGTCGTCACCAGTGCTATCATTAAAAAGCATAGGAAGACAGCTTTTCATTGATAAAAATCGCACGTAGTTATCTCATTCGGGTGCGGAGCTATCTTTGATCAAATTCGACAATGCGTGGAACTTTCAGGTGGCCTCGTAGACTGTATACGTATTGTCCTGATGGACCAGTATCACGTTAGTAAACCCGTCTTGCGTATGCGCGCGAATTGACTAACTCCAATCAATGGCTCAGCGAACTGATGTCTGTAGGGCAAATGTTAGGCCAAATGTAAAAAAAAATTAGAGGCCCAATCATGACACCACAGGTCTACAAGACCTGTCAGACGGCACTACACTGTCGTAGATGCCAATTATTTAATGTTTGTGCGCCCGGATTGACGCCGCAATTTTTGATTGCAACAAATAGCGATATACGTTCTTGTAGTCTCTCATTGTGTTACCCGTACTCGTCGGAGTATTCGTTCTAATTAAGAAAGGAGAAACACTTATAATACAACGTACACTCGAATTTGATTGCTTCTGCATCTGACGTGTCTGAAACTTTCTTAGGTATGATCAGACCTGATTCGTCATTTTCGCCTGCATCTGTACGTGACTTCACATAGGAAATCTATGAGAAATGGCCGACTACAAAGGTATCGTCCAATATACTACCTACTGAAGCTGAAGTGGCTGTACCTGCACAAAGATATGCGGAAAAACTTTCGAATCATCTCCCAGTATTTAGGAAAATCGATTCTGATCATTCAGCATTCATGCCGATATCAACACGTACGTTGACCTGTTTTCAGCCAAACGATTCCAACCCGAATTAACTGAACAGGCAGCTGTCATTGGGGCATGGATTTTAGTTGTTCCCGTCTGCCCAAACCCTATTAAATAATAAAATCTGGAGCTGTGTAGCATTTTGAAAATTTGCCCTTCATACAATCAGGTGATGAACGTATCGAGAATTCTGTCCTGTACCAACCGGACATTTGAGCTAGCTATAACGTTTTAAGGAAGAGTATTTCCAAAAAAGATAAACGAGGTTCTCTGAGTCTTCAGAAGGCTTTCAATTCACACAGTCTTCAAAATAAGCCGTACTAAGAGAAGCCGTATAAAGCCGTACCAATAAGGACTACCATAGAACTAAGCCGTGTCTTGGACACGGTTTAGTTCTATGGTAGTTCTTAAATATTCTTGGGTTTTTCGATTATTGTTTTAGTATCTGTTTTTCTCTTTTTTGAAACATTTAGCCAACTTTGTTGCTCTATGTGTATATACCTATGATTAAGGAAGCATTCCGAGCATTCTTTAACAGGCGAGTTGACGCAGCCCATCTCTGTTCACGTGTGGTCGTAAATCGCCCATTAAACGTAACAATATTGTTAGCTTTTTTCCACTTTTGTCTAACTTGTAAACTTTGGTCCACAGTTATCACTCACATACTAATTCTTAGGTTAAAACATATTACACCGATATAAAATAGACACGACAAACATCTCGCCTCAAACTCGGAACATACTTGTTGAAGCGTACCCAGATACGTTTACATGGGTAGAGATGACGATGCAGACCTGACTACTTACTGCAGACGATAGTCGACTGTCCAGGAATCAGATAGCGTTTAAAGATATTTTTGATACAAAATTTGACAGCCGTCTACACATCTGATCTCAATCTCTGTAGAATATTGTGTCTTTTATTGACGAACCCGATCTCACATTGAGTTACTATGCATTTTCCCCGGATGGCTATTGATTTCATTCTGTTATTGCTAAACGATCGTATCACTATAACATCCTCTTTCAACGCATCAATCATATAATCCTCTAGGCGTGCTCAAGGAAATAGTCAAAAATAAATATGCTAACAGCTGTAGTTCGAAAACCGCGCGTCGTCTGCTAGTGTAACCGTAATTCGCGCGTCCCTTCATAAATAAGGTATTATTTTGTCGTTTGAGAACATCCGTCACTAAGTCTCACATCGTAGCGAATGCATGGCTGTTTTCTGGGGCAAGCCACTTCGGATAAAGGTAACTGTTCCTTCTCTTGTCACAGCCTAACAGGAGGCGCTAGAGATAATGTAGAAATATTATCCATTGTAAGACATCCAGAGAAGCATTTCAGCAACGAGAATATGAGTAGTCGATGAAATTTTAAGTAGGCACACTAAGAGTGATAGGGCGATAAAAACAAACAACGCATTTGTACTCTAACGTGTACGAGAGTTTTCAGTGCTTAAACGACTTGCATTGATCCCTTATTACTTTTTAAGAAAAATCTTAAATTAGACAAACGTTTTAGCTTCACAGTTTCCCTTCTTACGATCTTGTTGAAAGTTGCTTAACGGCCCCAGCCACATGCCTTGTAATGTTTTTCTCAAAAAGGATATTCCGGACTCGCGGGGCACATTTTGTTGCTCTACTCCAAAAGTTACCAAATTCTTAACTACGATGTTGTCTAACACTATTAAATACCTCCTGAGCAGTGTAACATGTAAATGCATTTTTAAGTAAGTGCATTTATGAAGTAGCTAGTTTTTAAGATTCTGCTGCCGGGGTATGAAACCAGGTAATTGCCGTTCCAAAGTTTGTCCGAGTTCTACTTCTAAAGCCCAGCACAACCGGTACTGGCTCTTTCTTGTAGTATCTAACACGTAGCTTACATATGCCCCAAAGATTTACGGGCACAAACCTTACTACTGAGCCATCGATGAATAAAAAGATACGAAAACTAAGTCCATCACTATCGATATTCGGTGTTTGTTTCTGCTGGGAAAACAAGCAGCTTTCTCAGCGGCCGCCAACGTGTCGAGCGGCCGAACGCGCATACAAAAATAAGAATCATCATTTTTATATATTCGGCCATATGAAGTGAGCTTTTTTTTTAAACTTTGAGACATCCAATCTTCGCTCTCGCCGCACCGCCCTTTAGTGCCCGCATCGTATGGATAGTAGATGGACATTTCTTTGGGTACGCTACCGTAATAACTCTAACTAACAAGCATGCAGTCACGATAGTTCAAATTTTAGCGACGGCAACGACTACTATCGGATATTAATACTCAGGAGTATGAGCGATGAAGGAAAAATAAGAATTAGAAGAAGATAGGCGCTGCTATTATCAAAATTAATAGCTGCTTGTATAATTGCCACGCCGTTTCCTGGGTCCGCTAGTGAACATCCAGATAAGTCCGGCAAGGGCTAGACCCTTAATGTGAGCAGGTCCTTTATGGTATACCTGAAATGGCGATTATAAGGACTTGTTGACATGGATGAATATCTAATAGTGTTAAAAAAGCACAAATTCTTAATTCGTTATGGGATTGTAACCTCTTGATTCGACATTCAGGAACTTCACATTGTAGCTTCCAAAGCCAGCGTCTAAGCCAATGTCGATATGCAATCTCGAATGCACATAAATAATTTGCACCATTCCTCGAGGTACGAGTTCTGGCGTACCGGTACATTACAATCTATTTTTGCAAGCGGTGGGATTCCTGGCCTTGTACATTGACACACGTTCCCTCAAGCTCCTTCCTCACGACACCCACGATGACTGCTCGTTACAACCGCGAAATTTGCGCTACAACATACAGAATTAACCCGCTAGATGGTAAATGGTAGACAACACTTGTCTGAATCACATTCAGCTTATCGCTGTATGTCGGTGAATTGCGACCGAAAAAAGTCTGCTATCTGTCGGCTGAGTGTGCACTGATTATACATTAGCGTCTAATATAGCGGATTTTAATACGTAAGCTAGCCCATGTCGCCTGCCGGTAAGCAGCTGAAAAAGCCAACTAGGATCGGATAAAATATGAGGAAACTATGACTCCTCCAATGAGCCAACGTATGACAACGGTAGTTACATCTTTGATGCTTGACCTATCCTCATTGTTGTAAATATGCGCCCGGATATGCGGTGAACAAGTTTCAATAAATATTGGTTACCTGCGTTACTACATTTGTTTCCCTGCCCCGTACGCTTAACAAGTGAACGATCCCGAAAATGCAATAACAGGCTTCCTGATATCATAGAAAGTACTTAGGTATGCTAAACACATCATTTTGCATGTGAGCTAGGCGTTGGTCACTTAGAAAGGACGAATTTTTTAGGTATTTTAAGATTTTATTTTAAGGATTTTAAGATAAGCGTTAAGTTCAAGTTAAGTGGCAGGTTCACGGATATTTACCCTGACATTAGTTAAGTTAGTACTGACCTTATATAAGATGCTTTGAACAAAAAAGAGAAGCAATTAAAATGATATAATCTTGTCTTTCTATGACAATGAATCCTTTATTAACGTACAACTCAAATAGAGACCCTTGGTTAAAATTCTCCAGCAGAAACGTGTTTATAAAAAATTTTATATCATAAGGTTACGAAACACACGCACGTCCATTATCGCGCTGGGGACCGGGGGGAGGGGGCATCCGGCTAGGGCAATGCTTCATTTCATTACTACCCATGCCCAGACACGGAGAAGTTGCATTCGGTTGAACAAAAAAGTCAAGTAAACAAGTTAACGCATAACTGTTAACGGCTGTAGGACGAACGATGTTACGTTACAAAGACTATGAAATTAATTTGATCGGCAGCACAATGTTATCATACGAACACGAACAGAAGGAGACTACATTAAAAAGTAAGCTCTTTGGGTTGGACATATGGTATGGTTCTAAAACATCGTTAAAGTCAACTTTAGTTAATTTAATTTAGGAATTGCGCTTCTTATTAACTTAAAGTCATCGATTTCAAATTCGGTTAGCACCACGGTGATTTGAGATGACTTATTTTTTAAGAATTGGCGGTTTGAGTGGCTGTGTAAGACCCGACAGAACTGATACTGTTTCCCCCTTATGCCCACTAATTCAGTCATTAGTTTACTAATCCGGGTGGTTAGTTAACAGTACTTTGGGTTTAGAGGTGATTAGCCAAAAGAGGTAAGCTGCAATAACATTGTCTGAGATACGTCCGTCCTCTCTTGTCGATCTGCAGTTCCGTCTAGGCGCCCAACTAAATGGAGTCGACCTATAATCTCTATGTAATCTAAGCGGCACGGATGTCGACAAAGCCCATCAAAATTGAAGTTACTCCATGGCGCTATATATGCGTACATTATTACGCAGAGTGTCCCGAAAACGGATTGGATTTTTGTAATTTAACCTTTATTTGCGTATAATTCATATGTAGATTGAAAACGAACCTATATAAAACATACATCTTTTTTTCCTTTTTGTCGTAGTTGCTCGAAACTACTACCGCTTTATTCGAAATACTGCTAACGACGGTGAGTGAAGAAAGGAAGGGACTTCGCAATCTATAAATTCACAATGGGGGCATTTCTAAATAATTTGAAAAAGCAGAAATGTTCTAAGCCTTATTCACATTTCTTCCAAGTAGCAGTCGTAAAATTATCCTTTTTTATCCACATCATCTTCATTGATGGCATATGCCATTGTTAGAATGGCACTTTTCCATGTGCAACGTCTTAAAGAGCGATGGTCAATTCATTTGTTCATGGTAAATTTACAATTAACGCCAAATGTTCTATAGATTTTCGGTATGTTCCGCCATCAATTTTCTGCGGGCTTTTAAAGTTCGTTGATGTTTTCAGTTTTTCAAAACGACATCTATAAATCTGCTAAGCCGTTTCAAGTCTCATAGTTACGCCGGTCCGAAACAGGGGCAGGAACTTATCACTGTTATGATATCTGTACTTGCAACCATACAAGGAACACATTTACATAATTGTATAAAAAATAATACGCTATTTGCATTTGTACTGACGACGAAAACTGTATGTAGTGGGGGCGCCTTTTAGTTGAATCAAATATTCTGAGCGTTGTGTCTGCGACTGATGCTGCCATTGCTACAACCGTGCCCCCAGTTTGGATCACTGGACTATTTGCTTTTCAAGAGACTAATGGGGTCAGAAGGGTTCGGTCAAGTGGGCCGTATTATTATCATAATGATGGTCTCTTTCGGAGGACACTTGCCTAGGACAAGACAGAAGGAAACATTACTTGAGGTTCGTTGATGCCCATTCGTTCCCATTTGCTTACATCGTTATCCGCCGGCCGATGAAAACGTGCGTAGAACAGCAAACGGGCATTGGTGGAGGTGGAATAGTGCTGATACATCAGGTGGCTTCAGCTGGTGTAAACCCTAACAGTTCTTTACGTCAAGCTGCAGTAAAACAATGAGCACAAGACAGATGGCTAGGGCTAGGCTCGATCAGATTCCGGATTGCCAATGTGGCGGGTTCAGGCCCCGCAGCTGCAATGTAGGCCTCGATGTCTGGCTGACGAAGCAGGGAGCTGAGAAAAGTAAGGCCGAGAGCAGAAAAATAGTAGAAGGGCCGATGTACTACTTTTTGCGGCGTTTTCTGTCGCTGCCATCTTTCGTCCTTTTTCTTGCCTAACGTGGTCGCAAGGGATTCATAGAGAAAGACTGCAAAGACCTATGTGCCTTACATTCGTCCTGCGCATATTATTTTTATCGGCGGACGAGAAATGGCGACAAATGTCAAAGGCCCATTAACTCGCCACGATCCGAGAAAAAGGCTCTA